GAAGGTAAAAGATGCAACACAATACCAAATACATTTAACACAAAAAATAATATACATGCACAAGATTAAAAACTTTAATTTATTTTAAAGTTAAAAGCTTTAAAGTAATCCTCACAATCCAGAAATAGATGAAGTTATCAGCAGTGTATGAGACAGATACAGATACAGTACATGTTGAAAATAAATCACTTTTCCAAATACAGTAGTTGTTGGAATAAAATGTTACCTAAATTTAAATGCAATAGAATTTAGGTTGTCTAAATCAACTTCTTGATAGAAGGAGCTCAAATTTACTGTACAAACAATGTTCATGACAATCAACGATTATATTGGCCTTTGACAATACTTGTTGGTGTACTTGTAGATGTCTGCAAGCTTCAGCTGTTGAGCACTGATTTGGCTACTTTCACTATCCTGCTCAGCTTGGTAGTATTTCATGTATACAAGTAAACAGGCTATATGTCATTTGAAAGGCTTCTTAGACTATATACAAGAAACAGATACCCAGATGATTTAACAATGATATTTTAAGTCACTTTGGTTGCAATATACATTAAACTTCTGGTGATTATAGTTTAGTAAAGTGTTAATAAAAACCCTAGAAGAGGCTCTTTGACCCATCGAGCCCATTTGATGGTTAGAAGCTAATTGCTCCAAGGATCTCATTCAGCCATATCTTGAAAGAAGCCAAGCCTTTGGCTCCAATTGCATGCTGGGTAGTTTGTTCCATACTCCCAAAACATTTGAGGTTGTGTATCTGTAGCTAGACCCACAATGATATGTCTTATTTAACACAATCTGGGTTATAAATTAACAGCATCAAATTATTACTAAATATGTAGTTACAGAAAGACAGTAACGGAGTAAACCTTCACTGTACCTCTGCCATTCCAAAATCATGGCAAAACCCTTTGCCTTTTCTGTTATCTCTCCTGATTATTCAATATTTAAAGTTGCATCTTAGACTCTGTTCCTACAGAGCTTTGTTATTTTAATTATGCTTTTCAAATATTTAACAACAGGAGATTTATTTATGGCAAAGCACTGATCAAATCTATTGCTTTCAGCCATCTGCAGGCTTTACTTTCCAAACACATCATACCCTGAGGCCTACTTTACTGGTCATTAAAGTCAGTCCCATACTTGTGCGGTCAGGGGTTTACATGGTAAAATATTTGTAAGATGTAAAAGCAAAAAACTGACGTGCATGACTACAACTCTAAAATACGACAACTGATCATTTCCTACTTAACTGAACAAAAATGTTCCAATCTTCTTCAACTGATGAAGTAAGGCTAACCTCAAAGACCTGACTCTCCAGGCTCAAGGATGGACATCCCTTCTGTTTTATTTTTAAATATTAATATACTACTTCCCTTACAGATTAATATTAATCTGCGCAGGAATAGAGCTACAGTGAAGAGAAAATTCCATTGTGCAGCAGATCATACTGATCATACTACTGTAGGTTTCAGAGCTGCAGAGATTAAGGCATTGACTCCTCTCTTGGTATGAACAAATATTGTAGGCACTCTTATCCCCAGGCTCAACATGATTTTCACAAAGAGAAGGATCCAAAGATTGGAGATTCTTAAACTCTATTAAAATTTTCTGTATTTAGAGTGGGATTGTCAGACAACAGTTTTCAGCACATACTGAATATTAAACCCAACAACTAAAAGTATAAGTTCTCTTCATTATAGTATCATACCATTTTCTGTTTAGCTTGGAATATACTTAGCCCTTCCAAAAGGAAATGAGTAGAACAGTTAAATTATCATTTAGCAATCATTCCTTTCAGGCATACTAATGAAGGTAATTGAAACTGAGCTCATTCACTGTAGTCTCTGATTACCAGAGCCAGCACTAACTGCATGGGAGCTTGGGGACCAGGAACAAAATAGAAGTCATTTTCAGATTCCACAAAATTGCATTTTGTGTTTTTCATGAAAGGAAAAGCTAGTGCTAGCAGCGCAAAACCGATCAAAAAAAGTCTTAGTCACGTTCCGCAAAGATCAAAATGTAACATATTTTAGGCCAATAAAACAAATTTCCTGTGCTGGTAAGGTGACAGCTACTCTAGACAGGGGGGATTAACAGTCAAACAACTTTTGCTAAATTTTCACCAGCACATCTTTGTGATCAGCCTTTCGGATGAGACGTTAAACCGAGGTCCTGACTCTCAGTGGTCATTAAAGATCCCGGGGCATTTTTCGATAAGTGTAGGGAGTTATCCTGGTTTTGGGGCCTAATTACCCCCTCTGCCTTTACTTTGGTCTCAAAATTGTCCCCATGTATGATTGGCTTGCACTTGCCCTGCAATGGACTGGTGACCCGTCCAGGGTGAACCCTGTCTTGCGCTCGTTGCTTGCCAGGTAGGCTCCAGCTTCCCGCGACACTGTATGGTATAAAGCAGTTTGGCAAATGACATGACATCTTTGTGATGTGGGAGCACGCTGGAAAACCAGATGAAAATACACATGGACACAGGGAAATCATGCAATCTCCACGTAGGAGTCTCTTTTCAAAATCAAACCCAGGAGCCTAGAGGTGTGAGCCAGGTAGTGCTGAATGCTAAACCAACATGCCACCATATTAGGACAGTAGCTGTGTGGCAATGTCCAGAACATTAAAAAACTTCTAACTGTTGTCCATTTTTCTTCAGTTTGGGATGGACAATAAGACAATGTATGGTATATGTGTAATCTATACCATGCTATATGTTTATTTGGCATGTAAAGATCTGAACAGATATGAAAAGAAAACGCACACATGATCAAATCCAGCCTTCCACCCTCTGTGTCCCTTGAATAGCTAATAAGTCACATCTTCCTCTTTCCCTCTATTCTCCTTTCTTACTTCATCTTCCCTATGAGACAAGGGAGGAGAAAAGTGACCAGCAAACATTGGGACAGCTCTCTGCTTCCTTCAGACAGCCCTTCATTCCTTCCTTCATCACTTTCCAGTGCCTTTTTTAACTCCTATCTTATTATCTATTGCCTATTGGACTATACAGTACATACTGTACTGAATAACACTCCATTACTAATCTGATTAATTCTAATAAGGTGTATCAAATGCCTGTGAAGCTTTCCCATGATTGTAAACAAAAATGCAAATGTGTAGTTCTGAATGCACAACTGCCAAGTGAAATATAAATATTGGAAGAGTTTTTATTTAAATGCAATTGCTTTTGCATTTGGTCCTAGGTCCTCCCATCTCCTGCTGAATTGTGAGAATGATTAGAGACACGCAGCAATAAGTCTCATACTTCTGAGAATGTTAACCATCACCATGCAAACCTTAAGCTTTCTCTCTAAAAAGCAGTTGTTCCATAGAGTCACCAGTAGCACAGACCAAATAACACCTTAATTTAAAGACGATATTGAGAATTTAATGGTAATGTTGTGCACTCCATTTTTTCCCAGGAAGTGGAACAATAAATGGTTCACCATTTTGATACTTACCGTATTCCTGTTTTCTTTCAGATTGACACTGCTGCCTCTATCGCTACAGTAGGAGGCAGCTAAAGACCTGTGTAATGATATCTGAACCCGTTCCCTATACTGTACATAAAAGCAAATAAGTGCAATCAAAACTTTTCAGCCTTGTCTCAAAGGCTGTCTAGTTTGAATATACAGTACAGTATTGGCCGCTCCCACGTCCATAATCATCGAATGTACCACAGTCCACCTATCGAGACATAAATTGTCTTCACTGTAATCTCGGCAGTAACCGGACGCTATCATCAAAAGTATGCAGACACACCCTGTATACCGTGTAGCCAATTATGACTGCGGTGAACAACCCATTACATTCACAGACAAAAATAACAAATATTCTATATTTATGGAACCTATGGTGAGCACAGTTGCAATATTTATGTTGCATCTTCTTAGTTTTTATTCTTATTTAAGTAAAAAATGTAAGCACATGTTCGTTTATAAGGGTGCACGCTTATCACATTTTACAAAGTTATACAGTCAGCTACAGGTGTCACTGGTTTATTGTAGCTGCCTGCGCAATGACAGACTGAAAGTAAATCTTTTTAAGGAATCATTTTCCTGGGGATGTCTAAGGACAGAAAATCACTATTCATTTACTACAGTACACTATTAACATTTTGCTTTGTGCTGATATCTTTAAAGAAAGTATTAGGCATTAAATAGCCTATCACATATAATATACAGAACAACTAATGCATACATATTTGGACATTATTAAAACATGAGTTTCTTATCAGAGTGAAAAAATGGTGTGTATCGAAATGAAAATGTATTTAATTCTTCAATGGACAGGTGCCATTTATCATAAAGCAAATATCCTCTGTGCGCGTGCTTGTGCGTTTTGTACCAATCTAGTCTTCCATGTCTGATTAAAATGCTCACTGGTCCGACTTATGTTTTGCCTCTTAACAGAATGCAGAAAATTCAAAATGGTCACAACTGACGGTTCTTTAAATAACACTTGACTGCATTTGGCAAAGCATTATAAACCGGTGTTCAAAGCAAACAAATACAGTAGCCTATTACAGTAGGTCAGGTCTCAAACACAAACATGTAGACTACTAGCACAGAAACACTGTATTTGTAAGCATTAACTTTGTAACAATACTTTAGCATCCCACACATACTCTGTAACAGCTTCACCACTACCTAGTTGTGCAGAAGTCTTCAATTTCCATACTCGGTTTTTATACCAAAAAAAAAATGATTCCATTGAATAGACAAACTTAGCTCCGTCCGTTTGCACCAGCGAAAGAGCAAAATATATCACTCTAGTAACGTAATCCAAACGTCTCTTTAATACTGTAATGGAAATAAAAACGTTTCACATAATTAAATATTTGGCTTTAAAAATTGACACCATTCATATTTGCTTCTCATTAAACTAAACGCAAGAAAAGATCCACAGGTACAACTACAGTGTGATCTTTTCTAAAAAAAAAAAAGCGGGGGGGTTATTTCAGCAAATAAAGCAAACGTCAAAAATGTTCTTACCTAAAAGAGATGATAGTTTATCCATGCTTTCAGCACTCCCATGAAAATCGTATGTGCTCAACGAGAAGTATATTTAATGGTCTTTTTTATTCTTAAGCAAAGTGAAAAGACAGCGCGAAGAGAGATGCGCGCAGAGCTCACATCGACATCCTGTAAAAACTGTGACTCGGAGCCAGACAGGTTAACACACTAGAGGGGGCAGACAGCCAACAAGCCTCAGAGTGATGCTAAAAAATGCATCACATACATACTCAGAGGGGTAAAAAAAAACTTGTTGCGCGTTAACACAATATCAGTCAGCCCGTTAGTCCTATAAGAATGCTACAGACAGCAGATGTTTAAATCCCTAATTTAAAAAAAAAACATATTTTAACCACGTCCATTATTTAATCACTGTCGACGCGCTACCATCCTAAAGACAGGTCCAAAACATAAACTGGGTGGGAGCGGTCTCCTCCGCTGACCAGAAAACATTAATAAGAAGAAATTCCGATATAACGTGTGAGCCATCTGCTCGACTCATGAAAATTAATTCGACAAAGAGCTTTGGGAGGATGCCATGTGTCAGTTTCTGCTCCGCCGGTGTGCGATCTTCTCAATCGGAAAGTCTGTGGATGAATGAAGCCAAGCGAAAAGGCGTGCGTGGGTGTCCATTCATATAGACTGTTTTTTTTAGTACTGGTAGCCACTGTGAATCTATTACGAGGGTATGAGGACGGTCAGCGATTTACTTGCTTGTGTTTTAATGGGTAATGACACGCACAATCAGTTTTCTAACGAGCGATCTTTTCATTTTGTTCTAAAAATAGTTCAATTTAGAGGACAAAGCATACACTCCTATCCCTACCTGTTGCCAGGTCAGATGTTTTTATCTCTAACTGCACCACCTCTTGTTGAGGTTATCAAATTGAAACGAGTGATGAAAACAGATAAAACAAACGAGCCAGTATCACGAGCAACATAATTCCTAAAAAAGAATAATCTATGTGCAAGGTGTTTCTAGTCTAAGGGGAGCACAGTTCTTTCTGAATATCGCACAGAACGCATGTCTGTTTTAATTCTTTTCGAGGTTAAAAAACAATTAGAAATAAGGTTAAATAATAAAAAATAATTCAACTTGAATGAAAACGGGAGCATGTGAGTTTTTTTGGACCTGAGATAGAACACCATGTTTAAGGCGCTTCACCGTCACAGACTACGAATTGACTTTCGAAAATCTGAACACGTCTTCAGAATACCAAAGAAAGTTAATATTTTTACCGTATATCTTAACGAAGAAGTTCTAACAAAATATCCCGTTATCTGAATGGCATTGCATAGAGCAAAGTTATATTTGCCATAAATAATTGTAGTTCACAAAACCCAGTCACATGAATTCACACGCCTATAGTTATTATTTGTCAATCCTCTTTTGGCTGGGATTACACTAACTACAGTACATGGCTCCTAAGGTTCTGGCTCTTCAGAGGTGAAATGAATGAACATACCTTCACATAGAAAGTCCTTCAGTTCCTTTAGTTTCTGTTTGTGAAGTCCTACCCTGAGCCAAGGTCTGGAAAGTGATATGGTCATTAAAGAACAATTTATTTTGAGTGCAGTTAGCCACCCCTTTGTCAATCTGGATGAACGCTTTGGATCAGTGATATACTGGAATGGCAGTATTCAGCTCAGCTTGAGCTTCTTGGCAGAAAAAAAAACAGGTATCTGGCCAAACTGCCCTGGTATAGTGGGAGTTCATGATTTCCTCTGAACAAGGGTTCCAGGACCCAAAGATGCAAAACAACCCCAAAATCTAATAGATTTGCAATATTACAAAGTGGGCATGAATGTTTTCTCAGCATAAGCTTAATCTTTTTTATGCCAATCATAATACTGATGAGCATGTCCAAAAATTCTATTTGTTATTGGTGTTTCATTTTACCATAAGACACTGTTTCGATTGTCATTCAAATGATGTTGGAGTCTCCTGGTTTTGCTAATCCACATTCAGACGCCAATTTTAAATGGTAGTTTTATACAGTTTTTTTAAAATAATAATATCATCATCACTTTATTAACCCTTTACAATTTCTTGCATTAGGAATTATCTTTTCACATACCCCAGCTTGCTCTCCATGAGACACACAGATAGGGAGAGATCCTGGGGTCAGAGCACAGGGTCTGCCAGTGCACAGCCCCCTGGAGCAGTTGGGGTTAAGGGCCTTGCTCAGGAGCCCAATGGAGTAGGATTCCTCTGCCAACTTCAGGATTTGAACCAGCAACCTCCTAGCCGCAAGAACAGATCCTTAGCCACAGAGCCATACAGCTTGTATCCTGACGATGCCAGTTTGAATTGGAGACCCATGCCAGTTGCCTTCCAAACCACATGTTTCACAGCATGGTGGCATGATACACTTGTGTCCTCTTTCTGGTAGCCTGGCCACTACACCACCCATCACCTTTCTAACCCCTTTTCTCTGCAAGCAACAAGCACAAGGCAGAGTACACCCTTGATGGGCTGCCAGTCCATCATAGGGCACACACAGACACAAACACAGACATGCACACACTCACACCAGGCCCAATTTTCCCAGAAGCCAATTAACCTACCAGTATGCTTTAGGACTTTGGGAGGAAACCCGAGCACTCTGCAAACACTACAGGAGAAACTGGTAGATTCACCCAGTTTTTCTTCCAACTTATGGACCATTGTCTGCAGTTCTCAGAAATCACAAAAGTATGTACAGTACTGTAAGTCAACAGATGCTGCATTCACCATTAAAATTAACCTTCAAAGCCTCATCTCCTGGTGACTAATTTTGCATAGCCAAAACTGTGCTAAAACGAGCAGCCTTGACATAAGGATAATGCATGTGTGGCACAAGACAAAGCAGAAAATGGATGAGACACACTCTCTCTTTAGACCACCTTTCAGATTGTAGAAAACTCATCTTTGACCTACAGGTGTGGAAGTGTTGTGGGAACATTAGACAGTTCCATTATGTTAATTAACATTACTTGTTCTTACAGGACTTTGTGCCACCAGGGTACCTGAAGTGCCAAAAATATTTTTCCCCATAATTGCTTGTAGGAAATGAGCACACAATTGTCTGAACATATGCAGAGAGGAGGAAAAGAATTAGCTGAAGTTTATGAAATGCAAGAATAAACAGAGCTACTTGAATTTTCAGGATAGCAGAAGGAAAATAAAACAGGATCTCCATTTTTAAGTAGGAAAGATTTGAATGCCTCCATAAATTAATTAAAAGTGTCCCATTTGTACATCTTTCCATGGTATCTGGGCACATCTACATCTGGCATTTGTAGTACAGTATATAAATATTTAGCCGCTGTAAAGTTTTAATTTCATTATTTATGAGACAGCCTACAATTTGAATAACTTAATTTGCAGCCTAAACTAATGCCAAGAGAATTTTAGTGATTCTCTCCATGAAGGCCTTTGTTTTCTTGAAAATGAGGATGTGACATTTTTTTGGCAAGCATCTTTGTTTTTTCCATCGAAGACAAAAGCATTCACTGATCTGCATAAACTATTGAAAATGTGGAGTTACAAAGTGTATTAAAGTTCAAAATCATATTGCATTTGTATGTTACATTTTTAAAGGAAAATACAACAGAATATATATATCATGTCTGTTAAAAGTGTGTATGCTAAAAAATATGCTTTTACACAAAATTGCATTTACATACTAATAGAACATTTGCTTTGTTCTTCTTTAGCCTCTGTTAAAGCATGCATTTTTCTGTAGCTTCATGGGTGAATATCCCTTAGTTTGTATATTTTCTGGAAATATAGCATACCCTTCCATGTTTATTAAATGGAATTTGCTGGCTGTTGCTTTCTAATCACAAAGAACAAATTTGAATGTGGTGTTGTAACACATATCCTAGCTAGGTTCCAGAACAGTCGAGTGGATATGTGATCTTATTTTTATGCATTAGGTGGGGTTTTGATTTAAGGTTACTTGCCTTGTATCACACAGAACCTTGAAGAGTCATTCTCTAGTGATATCAGGGGCAAAACTGTTTTGTTAAGCTCAAATCTCCAGGGCTTTAATATTCAGAAACATTTGAGATCAAGGTAGGTTTCACAACAGAAAACCAATCACAAAGGATATCTAGGTGCCTTCACCCTCCACACCAACAAGTTGCTCTTATATACTATAACAATTCTCACCTTCAAAACAAGAAAGGTTATGGCTCCATAATAAAGCAGGAGCTAGGTTTTCTCTCGTACATTGAAATGGTGCGTCTTTCATGATATAAAAATAAACAAGCAAGTACAAGCACACCATGTACATGTACAAGCACAGCATTCACCATCTGTACTCATGGAACTGCGTTTACAGAGGCTATGACACCAAGGTTAGCAGTCCTGTTTTTGTAAAGAGGGACTCAGAGGAAAAATGTAGGAGTGACTCAAAAGGAAAAAAAGAAGTCTTCTGGAATTCTCAATTTCCATTCTGGAATGTTTGTTTAAGAGGGAGGATCGCCACCTACTGGTTCTAGCAGGAATCCTATTTTCCTCTAAGTAACACTGAGTTATTAAACCCTAAGGGGCTTGAATCAGCTTAGAGGTGGGAATGATTCATTCTCCTCCCCCATTTCTGAATCTGCAAAAAGACATTGAAATCAAATGTTCCACATCACCATAGCAATAAATAGAGAAAAAGATCAAAACATGTTCAAGCCAAGACAAGGAATGGCAGGATCTTTCTGTCACTCTTTATAGGTGTATGTGTGACTTCATCTTTCAGAAGCACAATCAATTGGAAAATGGAGATTTTCTTTCAAAGGTTTTACAACTGCATAGTTATGCTGCTGTATTCACTTAATGCAAAACCCCATGGAAACCAGATGAGTCATTCCAACCTTTTTTCAAGGTTAAAGAGTTTTAAACATTTATCCCAAATTCAGCTAAAAATAAAAGAAAATCCAAGCAGTTTAAGGATATTTTAAGTGTGTGGTATTTGAGAGATATGCACACACTAATTGGACGGCAAGGTGGCTCAAAAAAAATAAATTAACAAAGGCCAAATAGATTTTCTTTGATTAAACATGAATCCATCTGGTCACACTGCCTTAATCAGGCTTAAAACTGTTGCTTTGAATTCCTAGCTCTCTAAAACCAGCTACAAGCAAAAACTAAAAACAGTAACAATGTGACATATGGTAAACAGTGGGATAAAAAAATTAAATCCATAATTTCTTAATTAATTATTTTTTAATTATGGGGAGCACTTTAAAATAATTACGTGGATGTTTCTCATTCCTTAAAATAACCCACATATATACATTTAAGAAACTATAAAAAATATCCTTTTGCTATGCAATTGGAATTCAATAGGAATTTTCACACATTTACAATATTTCACAAATATTATAATGATTCCTGTGAATTAACTGCCATTCATCCATTTTCAGAAACCACTTAATCTGCAATGGGCAGTAGCAAGCTGGTGTATTGCTTGGCACAGTGCACAAGATGGCATAGACCCCATCCATTGCAGGGCACACCCACGTGCATTAACTCATACATGCCCACAGACACTAATTAATCTGAACAACGTGCCTTTGGACTCTGGGTAGAAGCCAGAGCAACTGGAGGAGCCAAGTGAACAGTGAGAGAACAGGAAAACTCCACACAGGAGGTAGTCACAGGACCCAAGAAGTATGAGGCAACTCAACTTCCTGTTGGGTATATTTTCACCAAGGCATTTTCACTTTTGGAAGTGCAAACAGTGCTGACCTATCAGAGCTGGGGGTGGCACTGACAAGACTGAACAAGAAGAAACAGCATCTGCTTTGGCTACTGGTGTCTGTCACGAAGAAGGAACTTTGGAACTCAAGGGATGAGTTGTTACAAGATATACAAGAAGGAGAAGGGAACACGGAAGTTGAAGGGGAAATCCTTGCAGACTTGAGAGAGCAAATGAAGAGGGACATTCACAAGTGGAGCTTTTCCCCTGCAAAGGAAAGGACTAAAGACAAAACACCTTGCCTGAAACAGCTCCTATGGACATTCAGACAGTCATAGTTTTAGAGGCGGGAGGGGGATACAAGAGGGGGTAAATTAGCCACCC